TTCGTCAAAGGATCAGCCAAATTTTTCTTAGACTTCACATAGTCAATGGAAATAACACCATTTGTGATCAATTGGCGTACGGTATTATGTCTACGACGGATATGTCTAGACTTACCGTTATACAAATTACTTTGCGCCCTACCTATAGCAGCTTGACTATCACAGTGAATCATCACAGGCGGCAAAGTCTTATCCCAACATGGAATATCAGATAAAAAATTTCTAAGCCACTCAGCTTCTTCACCAGCTTTATCTAAAGCGATGAACTCCGATTCCATCGTTGACCGAGCTATACACGTTTGTTTTGTGGATTTCCACGAAACTGCACCTCCTCCAATACAGAAAACATATCCGCTAGTGGAGCGAGAATCTCTCGAATCTGATATCCAGCTTGCATCACAGTACCCTTCAAGTATGGCTGGATATCGCGAGTATTTTAGCCCATATTCAAGAGTGTACCTTAAGTACTTAAGTACCCTTCTCAAAGCATTTCAGTGCTCATGACTGGGATTACTTGTAAATCTGCTCAACTTACTCACCGGATAGGCCAAATGTGGTCGTGTACAATTTGTCAAGTACATCAGACTCCCTATTATCCTTGAATATTCCAACTGAGCCACTGGTTGACCTTTATTAGCCACCAAATTTATACTAAGATCAAGGGGCGTCTTACACCTAGACTGTGCACCGTCATAGGCATTAAATTTCTTGAGCACTTTCTCTACATAATGAGATTGAGACAAGACAATTCCATCTTGGGTTCTGATAATCCTTATTCCAAGAATAACATCAGCCAAACCCGTATCTTTCATGTCGAAATTTCTCTTCAACATTCTTTTCGTATCCATGATCACTTCATGGCTACTCCACATGATCAACATATCGTCTACATATAGACATACAATCACAAATGTATTTGATGTACTCTTGACATAAACACAGTTGTCACATTCGTTGATTTTGAAATCATTTGACAACATCACGTCATCAAATTTCAAATGCCATTGTTTCGGAGCTTGTTTCAGTCCGTACAAGGATTTGATCAATCTACACACCTTTCTCTCTTGTCCAGGTGCAACAAACCCTTCAGGTTGTTCCATGTTTATTTCTTCTTCCAATTCACCATTCAAAAATGCCGTCTTGTCATCCATTTGGTGAATCTCAAGATTGTGCAACGCAGCAATCGAGAGAAGCACCCTTATTGACGCTAAACGCGTAACTGGTGAATAGGTATCAAAGAAATCATACCCTTCCTTTTGTTTAAGCCTTTGACCACCAATCGTGCTTTAAACTTATCAATCGATCCATCAGATTTATATTTCTTCTTTAGGATCCACTTGCATCCTAAAGGTTTACAACCATCAGGGAGATCAACCAACTCCCAAGTATGATTTTGTATAATGGACTCGATTTCGCTATTTACAGCTTCTTCCCAGAGTGGTCCATCTGGGCTGGACAGAGCTTCCTTAAGGGAACTCGGTTCATCGTCCAACATGTACGTAATAAAATCAGGTCCAAACGTTTTCGCCGTTTTTAACCTTTTACTACGTCTCGGTTCTTCATCAGTACCCTCTGGTACAGAACCACTAGCAGTTTCATACGTTCGTTTATTAGAACTAAATTCTGCTATTTCCTTTAGAGGAAAAATATTCTCAAAGAATATAACATTCCTTGACTCAATCGTGGTACCAACAGATACCTCTGGATTTTCTGATTTATGAACCAAAAATCTATATGTTGTACTATTGTAAGCATATCCAATAAATACACAATCGACCGTCTTTGGTCCGATTCTCATTTGTTTTGGTTCAGGTACTGAAACCTTAGCCAAACACCCCCACACTTTCAGGTATTTATAAGACGGCTTACGATTTTTCCACATTTCGTAAGGAGTCTCATTTTTCCCTTTAGGTGGTATTTCATTCAGGATATGATTTGCTGTTAAAACAGCTTCCCCCCACATGTTCTGTGGCAATCCTGAATTTATCAACATGGCATTCATCATTTCTTTTAAAGTACAGTTCTTGCGTTCAGCAACACCGTTTGACTGTGGAGAATAAGGGGTCGTCGTTTGATGAATTATGCCATATTCAGAACATATTTGTTCAAAAGGAGATACGTACTCCCCACCCCTATCACTTCGGATTATTTTAATCCTTTTGACGAGTTGATTTTCAACTTCGGTCTTATAAATTTTAAATGCTTCCACAGCCTCATCTTTGCTTCTTAATAAATATAAGTAGCAAAACCTTGTGCAATCATCGATAAAAGTAATAAAATACTTTTTACCCGTTCTTGTTTGCACACTTTTCATATCACATACATCAGTATGGATTAAGCCTAATGGTTCAGTACACCTTTCCACCGAGTGAAAAGGCAACTTAGCCATTTTTGCTTCAATACAAATCTCACATTTCTTATGTGATTCACTTTTAGAATTAGGAATTAATTCTAAATTCATCAACCGTTTAATTGCATTTCGATTTACATGTCCCAATCTAATATGCCATAAATCAGAGCACTCAACGGTATAAACAGAAATAGGCTTTTCATTATCATTTAAAACGGTTACACGGCTCACGGCCATTACATTCATTTTAAACATACCCTTGTCGAGATAGCCACGACCAAGGAAAGTTCCAAACTTGCTAAGAACAAATTTCTTAGCATAAAATACCAGCCTAAATCCATGCTCAACAAGAAGAGATCCGGAGACCAAATTCTTGCGGATGTCTGGGACATGCAGAACATCCTTAAGCTTCAACTCCTTTCCGGAAGTCAGCTTCAGCACCACAGTGCCCACTCCAGCCACATCAGCCGTGGCGGAGTTTGCCATGTAAAGTTTCCGACTCTTAGCAGGAGTGTATTCAGAGAACACCTCCTTATCAGAACACACATGACGAGTGGCACCAGTATCGATGTACCACTCCCTTGGGTTATCCACCATAGTGGCTTCAAACACCACAACCGACATATCAAAGTCGGTTAGTTCACTTGGCATAGGGCCGTGTTCAGCAACAAAGGCACTCGGTTTACCTTTCTTTGGCCCAGCCTTCTTTGGCCTCTTGCAGTCTTTAGCCATTTGGCTTTCCACAGTTGTAGCAGGTTCCAGTAAACTTTCAAACCTTGGTAGGCTGCTTCCCTTTGTCAAGGGACTTCCTCTTGCTCGAGTGGCCTTGCTCCAGCATGTTAGCACGAGCCTCTATCATCGGAGTCTTCGCCGATGAATTACGGTTGTCCTCCTCAATACGAAGACGAACAACCAGGTCTTCAAGACTCATCTCCTTCCTCTTATGTTTGAGGTAGTTCTTGAAATCTTTCCAACCCGGCGACAGCTTTTCAATCACAGCCGCAACTTGGAATGACTCGCTTAGAGACATTCCTTCAGCATGGATATCGTGCAAGATAAGTTGAAACTCTTGCACTTGGGACACGACGGTCTTAGAGTCGACCATCTTGAAGTCAAGAAACTTGCCGACGACGAATTTCTTCGCCCCGGCATCCTCAGTCTTGTACTTCTTCTCCAAAGCAGCCCAAAGCTCTTTGGCAGAACCAACCGAGCTGTACACATTGTACAACTCATTACTAACTCCGTTCAGGACATAGTTACGACAAAGGTAATCACCTTGCCCCCAAGCTTCGTACGCAGTGCGTAGTTCAGCATTTGTCTCATTTTCAGCAATAACCAGGGGGTCGTCCTTCAGGTATTTCACCAAACCCAAAGTGGTCTGGTAAAAATGCATCTTTTGTTGCCACCTTTTAAAATCAAGCCCATTGAATTTTTTGGGCTTCTCAGCAGTAGGGACATGGACAGCAGGTACATGATTGATCGGATGCTGAGTGTTGGAACCATTTCCGGTGGATGCCATCAGTCCAGTAGGTTGAGATATTCTTCTTGCGAATGTTAAAACTTGGGTGTCAAAATACACGGGAATCCTACGAACTGATATGTATTTTTCAGTTCTTAAAAATAATCTAAAAAAAAAATAGAAAATTACAATCGAACTGAAAAATAAATTACTACTGAAAATTAAATTAAAACTTAAAACGGAAAGATTTTAGCCGAGGCGAGTAAAACTCTTTCCGCAAGAAGAATACGCCCCGTGTGGTAGCTAACGGTTCAGGCGTAACTTCCCCAAAGATACAACGGCAAACGTCTCTAAATCTGTAGCACACCCGATTTACGAGCTCCGGCGAACTGAAACGGAGTCGAGAATTGAGCACTTAAAAATATGAATAAAAATATCCCTCTTTTGTTATTTTGATAACAAATAAATATTTTTATATTTTTTTCTATTCTTCATTTCTCTCTATCTTTCTCTTCTTTTCTTCTGTTCGGTGCATCTTCTCCTTCTGCTGATCACCATATTTATAGATGGAGTCTGAAGGCAATTTGGCCAATTGGCCAACTTTTCCACGCGGTTTCCTCCTCACTGATTGCAATCAATAATTATTATTACAATTATTATATGAGATCATGTGGCCAATTGTCTAGGAATCTTCACGTGAAATATAGATCTACAAATTGGCCATTGGGAACAAATTCAAGTGGATGGGTCCCACCTACAAATTTTCACTCAATTCTAACAATTAGCTCGTATTTTGTTTGTGCGGAGATCTGTCGTATTGATTATATTAGCTCGTTTTTTAGTTTGATTACCGCTTATACGTATTTTAATTAGCTTATCAACAAATTAGCGTTAGTTGGAGGATCCAATCAAGGTATTAGTGAATCTTCATGCACTTGTTTCACAAATATTCACATACTTTAGCGAGCCATGTCATCCTCGAACAACACCAACAACCAGAACAATGAGCAAAACTCTCACCCTCATCATTTTATCAGTAAGGTCATTCAAAATCCTACTTTTATTAACTGCATTACCGAGCTCTTTGCTCAAATGCTTCATAAAAATCCTAAAAAAAAACCCGTCTTTTAAGCACACATCTGCCACAAGCTAATATATATGATCGAATAATTCATAACGAATTTGAACAATTCTGCCACTTGCTAAGGTCTATGATCAACAATGATTCGAAATAAATTTTGTTATATACAGGCACTGAGGTACATAATATAACTATACTCAACTTACCATGTTCCAGTTTTTTCACTTGCATCCACTATATGTAGCATGTACACAAACAATAACTTCTAGCAATCTGGACACTGAAAACCAACTTCTGTAGCCAAACTTGCATACACAGCCCATTTGATGGGAGGGGGTAAAAACTAAAAAGAGAGAGAACACATCTTAACCTATAAATTTACGGATAATTACAAAAACTATCTTGGAAATTGGCCTGATTACAAGCAGAACCAAACTATATCTCAACTTCACATATACCCCTGAAAATACATATTTTCTTAACAAATAACCCTATTGAGGCCGAACTAAAATATAGAAAACAAAAACATATTTCAAGGGGTATTTGCAACTATGAAATATAGCCTGATTTTGCAGAAATCATTATCAAACACAAACATATCCACACATTGGCCAAAAGAGAAAAGGAAAGGCACTTCTACAGAGCAGGGAGAAGCCATCCAACAGTCCACCCAACAAGCAAACCTGCGCCAGCAAGCGCAAAACCCACCGCAAAAGCAATTGCTCGTTTGCCTACACAACATCCGGGCTTAGCCCGTTTTGTTCTTCGGGCCCGTGGCCCGTTTTTCCTCGAGGAAGCTGTGCCTTTAATGGGATCTGCGGGCCTCCTCCCAAGATGAAGACACAGCGATTCAAGCTGCAGCAAACGGAGCCACTGTCTGTAGGCAAAAAGGCACGAGGCCTGCTGGAAAAAGATATTGACGATTTTGTCCTTCTCGTCACACGCTTCCTGTGCCGATTTTTCAGCCACTCTCGCGCGCGTTTGGGAATGGCATAGGGCTTCTAACAGCTGGGCCCGGGTTAGACCTGTGCTTGGGGAGTCAGGTTCGGATGCATGGGGACTGTCTTCTGGGCTGCTGAAATTCAACAATTTACAAAGTAGTTGTAATTTTGCCAAATTTACAAAAAGAAAAGAAATACAGAAAAAATGAGAGAGAGAGAGAGAGAGAGAGTAAAAAATAAATGTTTACTTAAAAAATAACACTAAACATCTAACTTTCAAATTAGAATGCCTTCTTGATATTTTTTTTCCGGTTAAACAAACTACTAAGTCAAATTGGATGGGTATCTGTTGAAGAAGTACAAACCTAATGGTGGTGTAGGTAATGCCTCAGGGTCTTTCTGCGAGATAACAATAAAAAATAATCGCAGTTTTTCTATAATTAAGCATAACCTCAAAGGTTGGTGAGATCATCTCCAAAACAAATGAGCTTGCTTGGAGACTAGGACCTGTCTACTCTCATGGTTTAACTTTTAACACTTCATGAATCTTGCACGAGAATTTTTTTTATTGTTTTCCCTCTTTTTTGTTATCTTTTCTTCTCTCTTTCATTTCTTGGTCATAAATAAACGCTTGATCCTAGTTCGTCGAGGACTCTAAGAATTTAACCCCAAAAACATGTATAATATCCCAATCAGTACCAAGACAAACCACAAAAAAAATGCAGTTCTCTTAAAGTCACAATCTAAAAGAAAACATCCAAAATAAAGTCACAATCTAAAAGAAAACATCCAAAATACATGTCGAACCCTGATTTCCATTAGTTAGCATGACCCCTCACATCTCACTACCTCAACTCGAAAACCATTAAAAAAATTATAACAAAAATATTTCATGAGGGTATCATCACAATGAGAACACTTCCATACAATACATATAATATAATAAATTGATACCCGAAAGTTTTATACGACTCTGGCAGCATGCACTCTGTTAATCCTCGTTTTCCATCCGACACATAAGCCTTAGTTTTCTCTTTATCTTCCATTCGTTCTTCCAATTGACCAAAACAAATCTCACAACCATCCAAAACCTTTTCAACACTCAGTGACCCATTATCATGAGATGATGCTATATCCTCCTTGTCAACTGCATGCCACCAAGGTCTGATTTTGTCAAGCCCAACCCAATGAGTATCAGATTCAGAACAACTCTTCATAGGCTGTTCAGTGAGCCCATAATCGCAAGAGTCAAAACTGGGCAGAAGAACTTCAGAGAACTCGTCCGAACAAATAGAACCATCGTTTTTTGCGCAAGCAAAATATTCGTCTACCAGTTGGCTCTCGAGACCTGTCTTAAACCCATAACGATGATTTAACCACCATTTTGTGTCTGGTATCAAGTAATCCAAACTTGAAGAATTTCCTTTACAAGATTTGTGATCATGGACAAAACTATACGATCCAAAGAATGATTCGCTAAAATTGCCATCACATTCGGACTTCAGTGTAGACATTGCCAAGGGTAAAGCAATTGCAGAAATCTTGCTGTTGAAATTATCTAGCTAAATGTCACATGGGCCTCAATTCAGATGCAGCCTACAATTAACTGAAAAAGATATAGGTAAAATCACTGTAAGGATATAAGTTATGTATGGCATGTGATAAGCAATGAAAACAAAAGAAAAATGAGAACTGAGAAGTGATGCTGAAATCAAACTGATTAAGGTAGCAAAAGATACAACAAGGATTTAGATCAAATTTTCAAATAGACTGCATCAATTTTGGGAATTTTATCATAAACTAATGCTACTGGATTAGTCTTTAGATTCTTGTGGATATTTGCAATCATAGCTCATAAATTCTCAAGGGCCAGAATTACAGTCTTGAATAGCACAGTAAGATGTAGAAAAACCCAGCAAGGCTCTTCTCCACATAAACCAAGAACAATTAATAGAAACAATATCAAGAATTATGTAAAATAGCTCCACGCATCAAAATTTTCGAGAAAAATAGAAATACGAAAACAAAATTACCCATCATAAAAAATCAGACATCTAAACTTACGAAACTGAACTAAACCGCAATATCTAGTCACAAATCGCACGTATTTGAAAAATTACATCAGAGAAAGGGATTTTGTTAATTACAGTTAAAGAGAATAAATAGGAAAAAGTGGTGAATTTGACAATCACCTGGTTGGAATGCTTCAAGTAGTCGATTGTTTTCATTGCTTTGTATATTCCTAAAAACTGGGAAAAAAGTTTATTGTAGATTCAAATTGTAGACTACACATAACATAACGCAGTGTCTTGTGTTGATCGGAGATATTTTTATTTGCGTAAGTACGTGTTTGCCTTTTTTGTCCTTGTATTGTGGTCCCTTTCCTGCAATGAATGTGTCCGATAAGAAGAGAGCGGGTTAGTCAATACCCGATTTCAGCTAAAATGCATGTGATGTCTCTTCCTTTGGGTGCATATGGAATTATGGATATACCCTAATATATTTTTGTTTTGATGCTCTAGCTTTCTTTCGTTTGTTTTTATTATCCACGATATATAGAAAGAAAATAATTTTCCAACCAACATGAGCAAGAGATAAATAGTTGGAATAATATTTAACTATTATAATACAAATGAGTTTTGTGAATAACAATCACAATCTAATAAATTCAGAATGATATAGGGCTTAGAGATATATAACCAACTTATATGATATTTTGTATGTATTTATACCAACCAATTATTAAAAATTAATACTATCAACTAGTACAATATTATAATTATTCTTATAAGAGCTTGTGCAACGTACGAGATAGAGTTGTCAAATAAGTTGTTTCTTTGGGCATGTCTGTTTAAGCCCAAAAAACCATAGGGTTGAGGTATCCAGAGAAAATTACCCCACAGACGAGATAAAGTGAATTATATTGCACTCTTACGATCTAGTTAAAGTATTTAGCATATTTGACAAAAATTCATATTTTATTTGCACTAATACGAGAAAACAGGTGAAATGTAATATATTAGCTCAATTATAGGGAGTGCAGATTTAGTCGATTTAATGTCGAGAGAAAATCGACTACATTTCTCTATCCTCCATTTATCGGCCTCATCTAACACATTTTCTTTTACTCATCCTCTCATTTTCCATGGATGACTACAAGTTCACATGCGCCAGCCGTTTTTCTTCTCCTTCGGCTCGTGAGTGGTGTGGCCGTTGGACGGGTAGAATCAGCTGAGGGCGGTGGGAACTCAATTTGTCGGGCACGAGCGGCGGAGATTCGAGCACCGACTGAGTTTGTCCAAGGCGACGTGACGAGACGAAGGGCATGCCCACTTTCGACCGGCAGTGTTTCGGGTGGGTAACGGGAGGAGGGCTCACGTAAGGAGCTCCCCTCCGCAAAAGTCTCCCGGCAGATAGTGATGGAGTTGATTAATCTTGGTCGGCCGCCGTTGATGGTGGAGCGTTCAAGTCGTCGGCATGAGGATAGTTTCGGTCGGATTTGTTCTTAATGTTTATTTGATGTGTATTTACAGTTTATGTTAGGTACTTTTTTTGCAGATTTTTTTTTATAAAGAAACTGATATAAGGTTACAAATGAACAATTTATTTATTTTTGTTGATTATTGTTTATGTTGTTTTTTGATATTTATATTAATGTTTTTTGTTTCATTTTTATTTGTAGTTTTGTCGCGTGTTGTTCAACAGTTAGTAAAAGTTATGTAAATAAAACACAACATATACTGAAAATATATTGACTGATTGTTGTTCAAGAGCTGCATGCGAAATAGGACATTTGAGTCGGTAAAAGTTATGTAAATAAAAACGCAACATATACGATTTACCATCACANCGTATATGTGAATGAATGATATACTTACAATATACCGGGCTGCAATTATTTAGTTGTTTTCAAGACTGTATATGTAATGTTTTATATATTGTATATATTCTTATGCAACACCGCTAACATTTTAAATATCAATGGAAAGCCGATAGTTTTACCTCATATTTCCCCAATAAGAATTTGATTTGCTATGTGTTCATGGTCAACGTTCAAGATATTCAAAATCAAATTACATGGCTAAAATTTTTTTGTTCATATACCAAAATAAACTACTATTAAACGTCAAATAAACATTAATTTTGTTATATACCATAGAACAAAGAATACTGGTCGTTTTTTTTATGGGATTAATTTTGAAAATTAAATTTGAAACTTGTTTTTCTTACTAATTTTTTTTCAGGTTGTTATTCATTCACTTAGTCTTCACACGTTCTTCCCATGTTTATCAGATGTATTTATTTTTGAAAATTTATGTAATTAGTGTCTGTTCCGAAAATCAAGGAAGTGAATCTATTTTTTTTGTTTGAGAAAAATATAGTATCTCATAAACACAATTTTTTCATACTAATTTCGGTCAAATGCTAATATTTTACACCTAATCGTATGTCTGCAATTATTTATAAATCACGTAGCAGACATGTAAATTAGCCTTAAAGAAATTGGCTTATATTCTACTGATTAAAGGACAAGGAAAAAAAAAAAGAATGAGATAGAGATAACTAGATAGCATTAGCTGGATGAAAGAAAGGATAAAGGGTAAACATAAGGTAGAGGGACCATCTCCCGATTTCCTCTGCTTTTGGGCCGTCTCAGTTGCAATTGCAGAGTCGTGTCGGGGTCGGGTCTTGTGTACTGGGCCACGGTCGTCGGGGGTTGGGATGGTGGAGTTTGTTTTGGTTCTCCGGTCGCGGGTCTACGGGTTGTCTACCCAGGCGGGCAGGGTCTTTGTCTCGAATCTAGTTAGACGTTTATTCTGCAGTTTCTGACTTTGCGATTTGGACCCGATTTCTGTCTTTGTGGGTGGTTGACCGTGGGTGTCGGCATTGTTTTTTGTTCGATTTAGTTTCACTACTGTGGGAAGAGCTTTAGTTTAGTTATTCTGTTTTTTTTATTGTGTTTGTGTTGTGCCGTTAGTGTGCGTTTGTGTTCTTTTTCTCCACTTTAGAAGTGTCTATTCCCCTGTTGGGGAGTTTGTATTTTCCCCTTGGAGAGTGTATTTTTTCGTAGGGGAGCTTTTGTATGTTTGTAGTGTTGTGTTGTGGATTCTAGGCTACCTTTGGTAGGCCTCCCCTATTCGGCTACCTGAGTCAGTTATAATTTGAAAGAATTACCCTGTACACCATTCCGTTCCTTTTTATTTCCCAAATGACGAGAATAAAAACTTCATTCCACTTCAATATTAACGGGTTCACAATTACGAAATTATATCATCCTGATTTCATCCGCCGCCTCACTCCTGTTCCCCCTTTCCTTTTTCTTTCTCCATAATTTGTCTCTTTCTGCTTTCCTATTTCTTTCTACTTCAATTGGAATAAGACGACGCAATTACCCCTTCCCTCAATCGACGGCGGCGAATTAATTCGATGGCCCATGGGTGGCTGAACGAGGGTTCGACGGTTGGATTACGAGTAGGGCTGAAAGGGCATCGATGGGTTCTCCTTAGAGGGGCATCGAGCCGAGGGTTTCGACGAGAGGTTGAGCGGCAAGGCCGGTGGTACATGGCTCTCGGACTGACATTGTTGCTGATTCTGCGATTTTGGTAGGTTTAATTATATGATTTTCGTGCAGCTTTAGCTTAATAAAAAAAAACTCAACAGAGTTGTGTGAAATATGAAATGAATAATATGTTCGTGTGGTTCTATTACAGTATGATCCATGATAAATTCTTTGATGATTAATTTAATTTATATTTTCACAATTCTGTTTGATTACCCTTGTGGCATTTGATCCATCATCCCATACAGGTTTATCGAATGAAATTCTCTTTTGATTGTATGGTTATTTTTTTTCTTTTTTTTTTATTTCACTGTTTGATTTGTTATTGTTTGAGGGACTTGTGAAGAACTGGTGCTTATGGTTTGATTTATCTTTAGCTGGTTGTATGTGGTGTTCTCAATGCTTATTTGTTTAGAAGATTTTTATGAATGTGTTAATACTTTCTTTCGTTTCATGCATCTTAGTGTTCTGGGTTATGGAAGCGTAATTTCTGAAACCTCCTTTTGAGTGCTGATGTAGTTTCTTAAATCCGTGTGAAATTGGCATATTTGAAATGTTAATTCTTGTGATCTTGGTTCTAATGTGTTGTGAGTTATTATTTGGTTGCAACTGATAAAAACTGTCAAATATGGAGTTTGGTAATTGTTAATTGTTATATAGCACAATCACTCGAGTTCCTAGGATTGGTTGGGGACAATTGGTACCTTTGTGTAAAATTCATCAGCTACATTTGTGATTAGTTTAGAAATGATGCAATTGAAATGAGAAGTTAACTGTGAAGTGCTCTTTTAATTTTGCAATAATCCTTGGGTTTGTCCTCTGTTTTTCTCCTTAGGTATTTAAAAGTAATGGAAATTGCTAGTTTTATACATTTTATGTTCTGCTTATTTGTGAATTTGCGTTTTTGGTTAAGGCGTTGAGGATTTCTACTTGAAGATTGACAGCTTCTGCATAGACGCATTGAAACATTGGGATAGGCCTATTGATTTCGAGACTGATTGGAAAGAAAATCGATTCCGACTTCGGACTTGACCTTTTTTTTTTCGGTTTATTGTAGTTTTTATTTACAGATGGTTTGTGTAGAATCAGCCTTATGGAGAAAATATTTTTCAAATGTTTGATGTAATTATTTTGTGGAAGAATTATGTGTTTAATTGATGTTACAACTGGACAAAAGAGCAGTTGTTTTTTGGTTGGTTAATCCATGTAGATTTTGTTTTGAATATTTCTTATGGTTATTTTATTGATGGTTTTTGTTTCATTTTATTTGTAGCTATGTTGTATTTTATATTTTAGTTGTTCATTACTTTTGTGAGTGAATGATTCGTTTTTGTGTATATAAAGTATTAATTTTATAACTATAATAAACTAAAATTATACTATATATAAATTTTTCTTGTATAATGAATTGAAAAAGAAAACTATATATAAATTCAAATTTACTTGTATTCTTGTTATGGTTTATAAATCTATAATAAACTAAAAATAAATTAGATATAAATTAATAGTAGAAAATCTTGTTTATATACCCAAGATAAACTTATAATAAACTATATAAAAATAAATTAGATATAAATTTATAGTAATTATATACTCAAGATAAACTTATAATAAACTAAAAATAAATTAGATATAAATTTATAGTAGAAAATCTTGTTTATATACCCAAGATAAACTTATAATAAACTAAAAATAAATTAGATATAAATTTATAGTAGAAAATCTTGTTTATATACCTACGATAAACTTATAATAAACTAAAAATAAATTAGATATAAATTTATAGTAATTATATACCCAATATAAACTTATAATAAACTAAATATAAATTAGATATAAACTTATGGTAGAAAAATTGGTTCATAAACCTAAGATAAACTTAAAATAAACTAGATAAATGTATTCTTGTAATGGTTTATAAATTTATAATAAATTAATAAATTAGATATCAATCTACAAAACATACCTTCAATCATCAACACCAATCGCCGACGATGTGAGATCCTCTGAAAGTTTTTCACGACTCCAACCTTCACTTTTAAAACTCTTCCACGAATTTACCATGTTTCCATAAATAAATTATTGTTTTCATTTTTGTTGTGGTTTGTTTCAACCATTTCATTTTCGGTAACATTCACACCATCAATTGTGCATCGATTACGGGAAATATCATCCAGATTGCAGCGGCAATTTTTGTTTCCATTTATTTCAATGTTCGTAGTTTTGTAGAAGTAGTTTTAATTAGACGATATTATGTGATAAAAGTTTGTGTATCGTAATTGAGGTATTGCTATAAGTAAGAGTCGTACACGTGTCTTTAAGCCAACAAACGACGGGAACAGAGCCAAACTAATAAAGTTGGCCCAATTTGGAATCTTAGTTGCTCACGTGGAGTCAATATTAAGAGATAATTACCTGGTCGACGATCCTTAAGAAGTTTTTTTATGATTTATTAAAAAAAAATTGATAATAAATTAAGATAATCAAGAATTTTTTAAATAGTTTTAAATAAATTTTAGAGGTAATGTGATAAACTTAAGATAAACTTAAAATAATCTACAAATATTTAATTTTTTTTTCGTCGATTAATTTGTTTTTTTATGATTTAGTAAAAATATTGATAATAAATAAAAGTATTAATTTTATAACTATAATAAACTGAAAATAAACCATATATAAACTGAAAATTTTTCTTGTATAATAAACTGATTTTTTCTTATATAATAAACTTAAAATAAACTAGTTTAACTAATTTATTATAATAAACTGAAAAATAAACTATATATAATTTTTCTTTTTTTCTCTTCTCTGTATTATTTAACAAGTTTGGTATGTTACATGTTTATGTCTATTTATATTATGTAAATAGTTTGGTATAAAAAATGTTATGATTGTTATTTAACTAATTATAAATTTAAAATAAACTCAACTTTTGATAACTAAGTTCTTGCAACCGTCTTTTTTTTTCTGCACCTTTCCTTGATTAGACAGAGTTGTGGTATGGATTGGATTAGGGGATTAAAGAGTCTTCTTTTTTCTGCACCTTTCCTTGATTAGACAGAGTTGTGGTATGGATTGGATTAGGGGATTAAAGAGTTATTGCGCTACAGATTTACTTCCTATTTTATTAAAAGAAGCGTATTCAAGGAATTCATAAAGTTTGTTTTGAAAAATGTGTGACAAGTTTTTCGATCTCGTTTTTGTGGAATTGATACTTAATGTATTCAAAGAATTCATAAAGTTTGTTTTGAAAAATGTGTGACAAGTTTTTCGATCTCGTTTTTGTGGAATTGATACTTAATGGAGGCGTATACGTGTACTTTAGCCTTATAATTATGTGTTTTACTAATGAATTCTATCGTTT